CTCTTCCCAGCAATGAAGAAAGAAGAGTTTTGTCCTTCACCTTCTCACTCTGACCTTGGAATTTGCAGCCCTGGGGTGGCATCTCTGAGCAAATGACCTCCTTCCTGAGTTCCATGGGCAGTGCAGGGAGGCAGCCAGTGCTGCTGCAATTCCAGTGAATATTTGGTGGCTGTTGGAGAGGGCAGGCAGGGCCAGCAGGGGCTGTGCTGGTGGAGCAGGTGCAGCTGGAAGCACACGGAGAGGGTTCCAAAGGTGGTGTGCTCAAACACAGGACAGAACTGAGCTGGAAAGAAGCTGTTTTCTGCTGAAATTGCTGTCACTAGCGTGACATCCCAGTGGCCTCTGAAGATGTTTGTCTCTCTTTGAACAAACAGCAGGGATATCTTGGTGGATGGCAGGGCTGCTGCCACCTCCCTGAAGAAGCATCTTTAAAAGGACAGCCCAGGGGCACAGGCACGTCCCTAGCCTGTGAGTGATTGTCAGCTCAGGCTCAGCAGCAGCTCTCAGGCAGAGAGGGACTACAGCACTGTGTGGTGTTCCTTTATTAAAGGCAAAGGGAGCCAGTGACAGCAGCTCTCTCAGAACAGGGGAAAAACTGGGGTTTATATAGGGCAAGAGGGGAAACAGGGGGAAACTGGGATACAGGTAACAGGCTGGAGTGAGGTGGGAGAAAACCAACAGGACACAAGGGATTAACATGTGAAGGTGTCTGGGAGGGACAGGACACTTTCTCACTACAAGAAGTGAGAAGCTCTCCAGGGGAGCACCACAGTCCTTTTGCTGGCCAGTTCTTCATCCCCCACAATATCTCACTTAAGCACCTCATCCAGTGTTCCATAGAACCGTGGAATCTTTGGAACACATAGATTCTACATATGGAATCACAGAGTTGCTGAGGTTGGAAAAGCCCTCTAAGATCATTGAGTCCACCCCTGCCATGTTCACTGCTACCCCATGTCCCAGGAGCCACATCCACATGTTTTGTAAACACTCCCAGGGGTGTTGACTCCACCACTGCCCTGGGAAGCTGTGCCAGGGCCTGACCACCCCTTCAGGGAAAAAATTTCCCCAGTATTCAACCTGAACCTCCCCTTGAGGCCATTTCTTCTTGTCCTGTCCCTGTTCCCTGGCAGCAGAGGCTGACCTCCCCCGGCTGTCCCCTCCTGGCAGGGAGTTGTGCAGAGCCACAAGGGCCCCCTGAGCCTCCATTCCTCCAGGCTGAGCCCCTTCCCAGCTCCCTCAGCCCCTCCTGGGGCTCCAGACCCTTCCCCAGCTCCATCATTCTCCTCTTAGAGGGCTTTTCCAACCTTAGTGGTGCTGTTATTCCACGATTCCAGCTTACTCCAGGGTGGCTCTGCTCAGTGCTGGCAGCAGCAGGAATGATGCGGGTCGTCCCCTCTCAAAAGCACTTTGCTTCTCTTTAAACACATAAAGACAGTCACAGTCTGAACCAATCCATCACAGTATCCATCACAGGAAAGTTGCAAGTACAATAAACCTGGGGATTTTCCCCCTTTTTGCTGTGTATGTTTAAAGTGATTCCTTTCTTACCCCGCCCTTCCTGAGAGAGCATGCCCCTGCTCCCCCTGCATATGGAAATTCTCATTTCTTAGAAGGAAATAAAAGGACAGAAGTGGTTTTTCCTCTAGCTGCAAGTGCCCTGTGTGGCTCAGGGATCTGCTTGGGTTCATTGCCTGGTGTCCATGTCACCTTGCCCAGCCACGTGGTGTTTCCCAGCACGGTACAGCTCCATTCGCAGGTGCGACTGCCGATGGAAATTCAGACTTGCTTAGGGATGGATTGCTTGCCCAGCCATTTGTCATAATAGCAAAAGTCATCACTGAAGGGGGTTAGCATAAAGTGCACAAATAACTTTCAACAAGAGCCTTGTTAATCACTGCAATTCCCTTCTCCAGCTCTTCAGGGAAGGTTGGGTCATTGGGCCAGGATTCAAAAGCTGCCAGGCTGCTGAGGGGTTTAAGAAACAAATGTTGAAAGCTCAGCTAACAAAGCACCATGGAGAGATAAATGTGTGTGGCTGATAATGGGAAATCCTTTGTGGAGTCCTGGAATCTCAGACTGGTTTGGGTGGGAAGGAACCATTGAAGCTCATCCAGTCCCACCCTCTGCCATGGGGCAGGGTCACCTTGCAATAGCCAAGCTGCTCCAAGCCCTGTCCAGCCTGAAACTTCCAGGGATCCAGGGGCAGCTGTGCCCAGTTTCTCTGAGCAATCTCTGCCAGGACCTCCCCACCCTCACAGGGAAGAATTTCTTCCCATTATCCCGTCTATCCCTGCCCTCTGGCAATGGGAAACCATTCCCTCTTGTTCTGTCCTTCCAGATCCTTGTCCAAAGTCCCTCCCCAGCTCTCCTGGAGCCCCTTTAGGCACTGGAGGGGACTCTAAGGACCCCTCAGAGCCTTCTCCAGGTGAACAGCCCCAGCTCTCCCAGCCTGGCTCCAGAGCAGAGGGGCTCCAACCCTCGGAACAGCTCCGTGGCCTCCCCTGGACTCGCTCCAGCAGCTCCACGACCTTCCTGTGCTGGAAGCCCAGGGCTGGAGGCAGCTCTGCAGGTGGGGTCTCACCTGAGTGGGGCACAGCGGCAGAATCCCCCCTGCCCTGCATGAGCCCAGGATGTGGTTGGATTTTTGGTCTGTCTTTCTAACAGCCCTGTGCCAGAGTCCAGCTGGACAGAAACTGTCCCAACTTGCTGCCTTTGGGTTTCAGACAGAGGATGGCCCAAGGCAGGGCTGTTTGGACAAGGGGACTGTGTCCCTGTCACGACATCAGACAGCTGCTGGGCATTGAGGTGCATGAGATGCTTCCCAGACAGCATCCAGCATGACTTGTGGAGGTGCAGCATCCATGGTGGAAATGCATCTGCTGTCTTCCTTGGAAAGTTTCTCAGCTCTAAGATGAAAAGAGGAGAGAGATTTCATTACAGCAAATAAAATAATACCAGGCTGGGCCCACTGCTGTGGCTCTGTGCCCATGGCTGCAGCAGGACAGCCTCCTGGAGCTTTGGTTATGTCTACAGGGTGGGGCTGGCACCAGGACCTGCCCAAGAGCCTGGCTGGGGGTGGCCCTGTGGGCACAGCTGAAGGGAGAATGTGCTAATTCATAGCAGGGTTTGCTTGTCCTCTTGGTCTCTGCACGTAGCAGCTTTGTCTGAGTGTGTGGTCCATTGAGGCTCCATGTGCCAGGTCCTGGCTGTTCATTTTTCTGGTGCCCACAGCTCACAGCACAGCGAGCCAGAGGCTGCAGAGCCACCCACTGATTTCCCCCCAGGCACCCTCCTGTCCTGAACTGGGGTGCAGGATGAGGGTCCCGTTAGGCTGGGATGAATTCAAGCCCCAGCAGCCAAGGGCAGGTAATTGGTCACTGTGTCCTGGCCAGCAGGGCAGGGCAGGATGCTCTGGGACCTGCCCCTGAGCTCCTCTGGCCTTGAGAGAGAGGTGGCCAGGTCACTTGTCCACCCTCCTGTAGTGGGTGACTCCTCTCTCCATGGGCTGGGCTCCCAGATCCCTGCCCAGCATCAGAGAATTGTCTGGGTGCCAGGTGGGAGAGGGTGATCTGAAGTCTTCAAGCAGCAGAGTTTCCAGCCAGGCAGCAAATTCCCAGCAAGGCCTTGGCACTGGATTTACTGCACAAGCAGCAGCAGCATGTCAGGGCACTAAAAGCCTGACCTCACCTGCTCTGTGATGTTCTTTGTGTTGACTCTGTTAAAGAGAGCGAAGGGAATTGGCTGGAAGTGCCTGTGGGAGGTTTGTGCTCATTCAGAACAGTGATGCCACTGATAAACCAGCACAGGAATACTGGACTCAACCTAGTTCAAGGGACCATAAAGAGTTGGAATGTACCTGGAATTTGAGTAAATGTCTGTCAGACAGAAACCTCGTGGAGGAGGTGACTGTCAGTGTGGCATGGCCTGCAGGACAGTGATGCCATCACCACTGGATTTATGCAATTGTAGGAAGGAACTGTTCAATCCAGACAATTTTACTGAAATGGTGATTTACCACATCCAGCCTCTGTAGGATATTCATGGAATCATGAATTATTAAGTTGGAAAAGCCCTCTAAGATCATTGAGCCCAAAGTTTCCCCCAGCTTTGCCTTGTTAACCACTAAACCATGTCCCAGGTGTTACATCTATACATTTTTTAACTTTTCCAGGGAGTGGGACTCCACCATTGCCCTGGACAACCTGTGCCAGGGCCTGAGCACCCTTTCAAGGAGGAAGTTTTCCTTAATATGTACCTAATGTGAACCTCCCCTGAGGCTTTTCCTTGTGTCCTGTCCCTTGTTCCCTGGGACCAGAGCCAGGTCCCCCTGAGCCTCCTTTTCTCCCCCAGGTCCCTCAGCTGCTCCTGGGGCTCCAGCTCTGTTCCCTTCTCAGCCCCTCAATGTCCAGAGGCAGCTGAGGACCGCTCAGCAGGGGTTTGAATGTTGATGGGGAAAGAAGAGCACAGGATTCAACCACCCTGGTGTCAGGGTGTTCTCCTTCCCTCCTGCAGCTGCTGTTGTGTCTCTGTCACAGTGCCTGCCCATGGGGAGAAGAGTGTTTGAGATTTTCTCAAGTTCTGCACAAACACTTGGAGATTCCTATGTCTGCTAATCCCCCTCACCCACATACACACACTGCACAGTGATCATAGGCAGGAATAATAACTTCACTGGAAAAGGGAAAAAAATTGATTAGTTTGGATTCCAGGGAAGGCATTTCAATTCTGGAAAAGGGGATTTGAACAGCAAGATTCAGGGTTTCTTAGGTGAGCGAAATAAATGCTTCAGAGGAGCTGAAACAGTTGAAGATTCAGGCAGAGATTGGAGATTCCCAGTTTGGGCTGGGAAATTTCTGTGTAGCCTGGCATGAGCTGGGTGCTGGTATCTGAGGTGGGAGATTGCTGCTGCCTGAAAGCCCTGCAGTTTTTGTATTGAACATTTGATTCTCCTCATTATTAATTACCTTTTTCTTTCTTTTCTTTTTTTTTTCCTTCAGCATGAGAGACTTTCCAGGTAAGAATTTACTTTTTTTCTTTTTTTTTTTTTTTTTGTGTAATATTTATTGGCAGTTTTTGTATGGCTTTGAGGATTCCCTGTGCTTCAAATCCAGTCTAGTACTGGCTCTTTGGTCCTTTCCTGAGCTCAGATGTGGCACCAGTTTGCTTCTGTTCTTTACTCCCCAAACTATTTACCTCAGTGCCCTCTTAGAAACAGAGCTGGTTCCCACCATGGAGATGAGAGGTTCATGGGAAGTCACTGCCCAAGGGAGGCTGGGCTGGTACCCTGGGGTGTTTTTCCAGTTGTTGCAGTGGTGGTTTTGCCAGGTTTTGGGCAGCAATTCTCAGGGCTGAGCAGACGGTGCTCCCATAGCCACCAGAGCCCTGGGTCTGCACAGCTGCAGTCCCAACCTGTGCTGGCTGTTTGAAGGTACCACAGCTCCCCAGTGCTGGATTTTCCTCCTGTTTCAGGTTGGAAGCAGCTACAAACCCCAGCACGAGTGAGTCCTACAGCGACCGTGCCTCCAGCCGCTCCAGTGCCTACAGCCGCAGGGAGAACCGGCTCGCCGCCCTCAGCAGCCGGCCAGAGGACGAGAGCAACAGGGACTATAAGAAAGTAGGATTCTTTTAAACTTCTTATTGTCACTGCACACACCACAGAACCAGCCTGCTGTGCAGAAAGCAGCCCCAAGAATCAGTGGAAGGAAAGAGAAGATGTTTATGTTCATTTTCTGTTTCCAAGGATCCAGTGTTTGGGTTGGAAGGGACATTAAATCTTCATTCCACCCCTGCCATGGGCAGGGACACCTTGCACTATCCCAGTTTGCTCCAAGCCCTGTCCAACCTGGACCTGGACATTTCCAGGGATGGGGCAGCCACAGCTGCTCTGGGCACCCTGTGCCAGGGCCTCACCATCCTGTGAGTAAAGAATTACCTAAATTAAAACTGTCCCTTTTTTTGGCCTCTTGACTGTGTTCAAACTCCCTGCAAAATTCAACAGCTGTTTTCTTATTTCTAATTCATGAATTATGAAAACTTAAGTAAAGCATCCAAGTTGGTCTTGTTTTCCCTTCTCATCTCTTGATGTGTGGGAGTAAAGTGAACCCCTCAGCTCAGTGCTAAGGGCATGGGTCTGCTCAGAGCAACGTGGCAGGATGGGGTTAATTAACCAGGAGCAGCCTGGTTAATTAAGTTAATTGAGCTCTTGTTTTGCATTTCAGTTATATGAGAGTGCCCTGTCTGAAAATCAAAAGCTGAAGTCAAAGCTGCAAGAAGCCCAGCTTGAGCTGGCTGACATCAAAGCAAAGTTGGAAAAAGCAACCCAGGTAAGGAAAAATCGAGGTTCTGACAGGAGAAAGTGAGCACTGGCCATGACAAACCAACACTTGTTCCAGAATGGGAAAGGGAGGGAAGCTCCTGGAAAGGTGTTTTTGGGAGGGAAGGTGCCATAGAGGAGACAGAAATAAGCACGTAATTTTGTAAATTGACTTGTTGCATCCCAAGCAAGAGCATCTGTGCTGTCTTGGCCTTTGTGCAGCACCCTGTGAGTGCTCTTGGGTTTAATCACTTTCTATTTTTAATTTCCAAAGCAGAAACAGGAGAAAACTTCTGACCGGTCCAGCATGCTGGAGATGGAGAAGAGGGTATGTGTCTCTGCTTTCTTCTGAGTCACAGCCTGAGCCTCATGTTGCTGTGCAGGGCAGTCATTTCTAGAAGGGAAGCATTAATTAAAAGATAAGTTGTATTTTTGCCTTGAGGAGCATTGCACAATGTGTTCTGACCTTTGCAGGGCCTGAGACTCTGCTGCTCTCTTTGCACATCAGCTTCGTTCTGATTCCTCTCTTTTATTCTGAACAGCTGAGGACCAGTGGATTGTATCACACTGAGGGACTTTCGGTCCATTATTCTTTAATATTCTCAATCCTTACAAATAAAGACTGGTTTGGGGTGGTGGGAGAACAAAGCAACATCCTGGAAGGGCTGCTCTCAATCCCTTCATCAATCCCCCCCAGCCTGGGTTCATACCAAGGATTGCCCCAACCCAGGGACAGGACCTTGAACTTGGCCTTGCTGAAGTCAGGGCAACATCCTCTATAACTTGTGTTGAATTAGGATCACAAGAGCCACAAATTCTGGGTTAGAAAGTAAAAACATGTCCAGCTGTTCTCAGTGAGGATGCATTAATTGTTTCTAGTATGGCTTATGCATTTTGCACCGATGAATCCCTGGATGAACCACGCTGTGGGCAAAAAGTGACCCAGAGCTCATCATCCACAGCACTATCAGAAGCTGCCTTTTCCTCACTCTCCTGGCCTCATGGCTCTTTGCATAGGGCAGAGGAGCAGGGCAGAGAGTGCAAATCTTCTTGATGCATGTTTCCCACTTCCCCCTTCTCAGGGCATGTCCCTGGAGCAGTTTGACCCCTTTCATGTTGGTAAAATCACTGAAGGAGTCCAGATCTCCCCTCCTTGGCACAGACTTAGCTGAGGCCATTCACATGGCAGAGTCTAATCATCACTTTCCAGAATGCATTGAAAGCAGTCAGCTTTGCAGGCCTGGATTGTCTGAGAGAAACAGGATTTCCAGGCAGGGAATTTCCTTGTTCTGTTTCTTATTTGAGCAGCTCAGTGACTTTTCTCATTGCCACCTTTAGTGAAGTGTAAGTAAATCCATGGCTTCACCTACAGAGCTCAAAATCACATTACATCAGCAACTCCTGAGAGCTGGGATCACTGAAAATGGGCAATAATTTCATTAGAGGTATGAGTAGAGCTTGTGATTTGCCCAGACAGACCCAGCTTATATCCCTGCTGGTTTGCCAGCTGCCCTGTCCCAGCTGATCAGCTCCTGGTTGTAACCTCTGCCTTCCTTTGGGATACTCTTGGGATACAGGGAATGCTGCTAGAGAAACACAAGACTCTTATTTTTCTTCTAAATCCTTGTTTGTTATGAATCCTTGTAAACAGGAGAAGCGAGCCCTTGAGCGGAAACTCTCTGAAATGGAGGAGGAAATGAAGGTAAGAAATAATCTTCACTGTGTCTATTCCATTTTTTATGCTTTGTATTCATGTCTTTGGGGGTTGTCACCCAGGAGGAGGATGGTAAAGGTGTCCATAGGAAGGATCTCATTTTCCTTTCTGCAGTCAGAACTTGCTTTAACAGCCCTGTTCTCCAAACATGAAATGCTAATAAACTGTCCTGTTCTCATTCATCTGATTGCTCCTATGTTTGATTTGTTCTGCTGTTTGATCTGAGAATGGTGAAAGCTGTTCTCCTTAAAGCCTTCCCAAACTAACCTTTTGTGGCATCGCTGAGTTCCAGTGTGCTGACCCCCTGTGCTCTGACTAGTCTGCAGCCCAAGTTAAGGCGCTGAGGTTCTCTCCGGATGGGTAAGAAGACAAAGCTGGCTTTGAGCTCACGCACACTGGCCAGGATAAAACACAGAGTGGTTGTGTTCCTGTACTCCCTTACCAAAGCATGTCACTGGGAGGCCACAGCAGCCAGGGAGAATTCCAGCAAAGAGGAATTTGCTTCCTGATGGGATGTGCAGCATGGCTTCCTGTCACGAGCCATGGCCGCTGGTGTTCCGGCGTGTTCTCGCTCCCGTGGCGTGGCTTCAAGGAGGGTTGTGCCTGTGAGGGGAGCCCTGCAGAGCCCAGGCAGTGTCTGGCTGCCTCCACACCCCTAAAGCCTCACCCCAGTTTGGCAGTGCTGCGTCACATTACGCTGTGTGTTCACAGAGTGAGTGTCCCCTCTGCTCTGCCCAGTGCTTTCCTTCCCTTTCAACATCAGCAGGTGGGACCAAGCCTGGAAGGACCCACCTGAGAGAGAGCTCTCCTGGCACCTGGCTCTGACAGAAATGACTTGCTGCCACCCTGGAGGAGGTTCCAGCTCTGTTTCTGTTTGAAGCTTTGTGTTTCTACCAAGCACATAGCTTTGAAAGCACCATCGGCTTGTGCTGCATCTTCTGCTGCAATGAGTTACACAATGATGGGGTGGATTCTTGCTGTAAAGGCTCTGAGAGAGGAGAAAATAAGTGTGGATGTGTGAGCCAGGAGGAGAAGGATTGAATATGTCTAAATTCCAAACTCTTTGTTCAGTGAGCAGGTAGCAAACTTTAACTGCACAGAGGCTTTCTATAATTACAGAATTGTGGTCTCCAAGAGAAATACAGGCATGAGCAGTTTGTGTTGGTCCTTCAGCTCTGCAGATCACTGCAAACCTGCAGCTTCAGCCCATGGAGTAAGAAGACAATGTGGTGGCCTCTAGTGGCCTCAGTTTGGAAACATCCTGCTCTGGAAAGCAGTTATTGTGGGAAGGTGGCTGTAGGGTCTGATGGACACAGGCAGAGAGTTCCAGTTCAGGCAGTCTGGAGCTGCAGAGCCGTGGAAGCCAAGGTGGTGCAGGAGAAGCGCTGCTGGAGGTTGGATGTTCTCACACTGCCTCGAGAGACACGAGCTGAAGGAACCTGTGGTTCATCTGAAAAAGAGTTTAAGGTCCTTGAGAGTGGTGCTGACTCTGCTCTGCCTGTTCTTGCTGCATGACAACCAAAGCAGCCTTTTGTTAGTAGAACAAACAGACAAAAAATCGGAAAATCTCTTTTCTGAGGTGCTACTACATTTTTACTAGTTTTTACAAAACCTTAAGAATGTAGTGAGTACCTGAGGGCACTGTGACATGTCTTGTTTGACAGCTACTCAAAAAAAAAAGGAATATAAAATCTCTGAATGCAGAAGCATTGAATTGGACCTTTCCAAAAGGAAACTGTTGTGTCCCCTTTCATGGTGCCTTGAAATGGGAGAAAGAGCCCTGCTGTGTTTGCCTGGAAGGAGATAAACTCTGCAGAGCATCCCTGTTAGTCACTAATGCAGGAGATGAGTCAGGAAAGAACCTACTAATTCTGCTTGGACTTTGATTCTTGCTCTTTGAACAAGAGTACTGCGACCTGAGTAGCTGTTGTGCAGGAGGAGAAGGAATAAGGTAGGAATTGTGAAGGAAAATGCAAATCCACCGATTTCCTTTAATGTGGAGAGCAGCAAGTGGAAACAACCAAACCTGGCAGGTCATTAGGGCTCAGGTTGTTTGTGGGAATTCTTCCCACTGATCTTGGATTCCAGCAAGACTCACATCCAGCTGTTGGATCCAGGGGTGTCCAATTGTGCACATCAGATGTCCTGGACAGGGCTGTCCTCTCCTTGCAGCTGACCTCTGAGGAAGAGGAGGCAGAGGCGACAGGAATGTACTTCGGGCTGTGTTTGAAGGAATTAGCTCTGTTCCTGTCTGGAGAGTGACCCCTGCTCCCAAAGCCACAGAGAAGTGAAGAGGAGCAAGACAGGCTTGGTAACCTCAAGAACCTTGGTGGCAGAGCTGCTGTGCAGAGCTGCTCCTCAGACCTGCTCGTGGTCCAAGCAAGAGCAGTGCAGCATTTCCCTGAGTGACTGCACACTTCAAATGGAGATCCAGAACCTTGGCTGAGGCAGGAGAAAGAAAATTAACATTTGCACTGAGTTGAATTCAGTGCCAAGTGCCTGAGGTCCCAACTTAACACAGCAATTGTTCTTGAAGGTCACAGAAGCTCCTTTATTCCATAGCAGTGCTGCTGCTCCTGGCCTCAGCCATTGGGCAGGCTCAGGGCATTTTTATTTCATGTTGCAGGCACAAAATCCATTAATTGAAGGCAGGTTCAGAGAGTGGAGAAACCTGCTTTTGCTAAGCCAGGTATCAAGCAGAGTGATAAGCAATCACAGCGGTATGGTCCAGATCCTGCTCTTTGCCCTTGGCTTCAGTCCCAGCTTCCCAGCCTTTGCTGGATTTGGTGCATAAACATGAGCCTGGCCTACCTTACTGCATCCACACATTTTAACATCAATGATCTTTTCTGTGGGCTGTGCAGGGTATGGAGGCTGAGCAGCGGCTGATGGGACCATGCTGAGGTTCTGTGCTGTGCTGGTGTGGAAGAACAAAGGTGATCTCTGAAATTATCAGAGTCCTTTGCACCACAATGCAGCGTAGCACGATGCCCCTCCTGTGTATATTAGGTGTTTTCTGCCAGCTGTGAGCCCTGTGATAAAACAGGATCTTTATTATCTGTGTATCATAAAATCATGGAATATCCTGAATTGAAAGGGACTCACTGTCCAATCCCTGCCCTGCACAGACACCCCAACAATCCCACCCTGTGCACCCCTGAGAGCCTTGTCCAAACACTCCTGGAGCTCTGGCAGCCTCGGGGCTGTGCCCATTCCCTGGGGAGCCTGGGCAGTGCCAGCACCCTCAGGGGGAAGAACCTTTCCCTGATCTCCAGCCTGAGCCTGCCCTGGCCCAGCTCCAGCCCTTCCCTGGGTGCTGTCCCTGCTCACAGAGAGCAGAGATCAGAGCTGCCCCTCATGAGGAGCTGCAGCCCCCAGTGGGGTCTGACCTCAGGCTCCAGGGTGAACAGACCAAGTGCCCTCAGCCATTTTGGTACCATCAAAAGTGACAATTCCAGTACAGCCATCTTCTAGCAGCTCCTGGTGTGATGTATCACAGGACAGCCATGCCATGTCCATCTGTCCTCACTGCGTGGCAGCCAGCAAAGCTTGGGCAGGTGAAGGGATGATGGAGGATGGATGGATGGATGGATGGATGGATGGATGGATGATGGATGGATGGATGGATGGATGATGGATGGATGGATGGATGGATGGATGGATGGATGATGGATGGATGGATGGATGGATGGATGGATGGATGGATGGATGGGATATGGTGAGCAGAGATCTTTCCTGCAGTTTGTTGGCTGTAACTCTGTGTTGGGATCCATTGATTTATCCAGTGTCAGAACTGCATTTGTGTGTCCAAGGAGCTGCTCTGTCAGTTTGATGATCTCAGGGGCTCAAACCCCATCCTTTGCTGGCTCCCTGCCCTCCTGTCTTGCTTCCCTTGGTTTTGCAAAGCTTTTCAAGCAGGTCATTCCATCATGGAGAGTAAATGTAGTGCTTTTGGGAGCTGAGAATGGAGCTGATGGTTGGGGGTATACAAAGTTCTCCAGTTCTGTACAGGAATGAGCCCTAGAACAAAATGTGCACACAGCAGATTCCTTGCCAGCTGCAGCCAGCCCTGGGTCATCACAGAATCCCAGACTGGTTTGGGTTGGAAGGTGCCCTTCTCATTCCAGTCCATGGGCACTTTCCACTATCCCAGACTGCTCCAAGCCCTGTCCAACCTGGTCTTGGACACTCCCAGGGATGGGGCAGCCACAGCTGCTCTGGGCAGCCTGAGTAGTGCAGGTTGGGTAGACAATCATTGTGTCACAGTACATTCTTTCATGGTGCTCCTTGTTCAGGACAGACAGCACGTCCCTTTGAGTGCTTTCTGCTGATGAAATGGTAGAAAGGAACCCCCTTCCCCATAGACCCTTCCCTTTGTCTTCTTCTGCCACTGCAAGCTCACAAGTAAGAGGACATGGGGAGAAATACAGTGCTTTGTGGGACTGCTGAGGTTTGGGACAGGGATTTTGTCACTTGAACTTACAACTCTTCTTGTGGATGGTTCCTGGCTGCCCCTGCCCAGTGTTGGGGCTCCCTCCATCATGCAGGATGGGTTCTTGCTGGGGAGGGGTTCTCGTTCCTGTGGCCCAGCTGCCCGAGCTCTTGGGAGGAAGGAGGGCAGAGAAGCCACTCAGGAAGCAACTCCACAGCTCCTGGCATCTCCTGACACCTGCAGTGGTGTAAATGTCCAGCACATTAATTCACTTTGGCATTACTGGGGAGAGTGCCATCCCTGTGGCACTGGGATGTCTGCATGGCTTGTACCATTTCCCTGTTCTGCTTCCTCATAGCTCTTCTGTTCCCCACCCCCATTGCTGTACCTGTGCAAGCCCCAGTGTGGGGCCCTGTCCTGTGCCCCTCATTGCCTTTGTCACCAGGATTGCCCTACAGGCACATCCCCACTCTGCTCATTTTAGGAAGAGGAGTCTGAATGAGAGCATCTCCCAGTTTAAGGTTCAGACTTGTTCCCTCTGAAAGTCAGAGATAAATTGAGCCCCGTACAGAGAAGAGTTGAATCTGGGCAGGGATGAGGAACACCCCCAAAGCCCAGAGGTTTTGGCAGGACTGAGCCCCAAGAGCATCACTCAAAGATGAGGGACACAATTGCTGTCTCAGTGATCTGCTGTGGGACAGTGACACTTTCAGGTGCTTCAGTTTGTGCTTTTGGGATATTCCAGGAAGCTCTGATTGCTCTTTGCTCCACACAGCTGCTTTGGCTTTTAGAGGTACACAAAGAAAAGGAGTTTTAAAGAAATTCTCAGTTCCCAGCAGTGGTTTCAGAGCCTGTGTAGGTGTTAAGTCACTGGTGATAGGTCTCCCAGCAGTTCCCAAGTCCCAGGGCTGTCTGGGTAAACTAGAATATAATCCTGCTTTGAGGTGGGAAATCCCTATATTTGACCTGTTTAAGACTGGGGGGTTCCTGGAGAAAGAGCTGATTCCCAAAATATCCTTGTTGTGTTGTCATGCTTTCCCCATCCAGAACTCACTGCTACTAATTTCTTTTATTCTCTTTTTTTCTTTCACTGCCAATGGACTAAACTCCCATTTCTGTGCCCATTCATTTCTGTGATGTTTTCTATTTCTCTGTCCACTCCTCTCACTCTCTGCAGAATCTCCACCAGCTCAAACAGATTCACACTCTGAGGCAGATGAATGAGCAGCTGCTGGCTGAGAACAGGGCTCTGACCCGGGTGGTAGCCAGACTTTCTCTGCCTGCCAAGCCCTCGGAATCAGAGGAGCTGTAGCTGCTTTCCCTCCGGCTCATCTTGCCTCCCTCTTCCACTCTTCCAGGCAGGTCTCCTCTCCCTGGCCAGGCACTTCTCGCTCTCTCCCTGCACTCCAGGGTGGCTGGTGAAGCTTGTGGCCAAAAGCTTGTGCCAAAGGATGTCCAAACTCTGCGAGCTTGGTGCTGCTGCCACGGCAGGGCTCTGCTCACCCTGCTGCCTCCTGCTCTGCTTGGCAGATGCTGCTGCCCTTGCTAGCTTAGCACTGGGAAATGGCTTTGGGGTGGCTTGGCAGTGCCAGCAGCTCCTTGCCTGGTACTTTGCCTTCAGACAGACCCACAGAATGGTTTGTGTTGGAAGGGGCTTTAAAGCTCATCTCATTCCACCCCCTGCCACGGGCAGAGACACCTCCCTCTGTCACAGGTTGCTCCAAGCCCTCTCCAGCCTGGCCTTCAACACTTGAAAATAGGTGGTTTATGCTACATGTAATAGAATTCTTTTTAATTGTACTTAGTTCAGGGAGAAGCTGGCACTCAGAAAATCAGATTATCCAAAGTCAGGAAATTTTCAAGGAAGTTGTGAAAAGCGAACATTTTAGACAGAAAGAGGATTTTTACAAAAACTACAAACCGAGCTGTCCTCAGAAGGTTTTCTTGGTCACTTGAACAAAAAGGACAAGCTCATTTCTTTATTTTAAACTGAAATTTTTGAGTCCACAGGCTCAGCACCCCACCCTGCCTGCTGTGGGCTGGCACAGGGTGGGGGATGCAGCAGGAGCCAGACCAGGAGCGCTCTGATTTCATCTTCTGTTTTAAATCCAGTGCAGGACAATTCATGTTTGTAACCCAAGGATGCATCTTCCTTAAGCTTTGCCCTCACACATCACACAGTTAAATTATGTCTCTTCCTGCTACTTCATTGGTTCAATGCTAAAGTAAAGCTGTAAATGTTCCTTTCTTGGGGCCCTACCTGTCCTTTGCAGGTTAAGAGGGATATTCATATCCCTTCAGACACAAGAAGTCATGTGCTCTTGTGGGCTGGAAGTGGCACTACAGAATAAAAAAAATCTATTCTTAGCACACAAATTATATCAAGGCTGATTAACCATAGAAACAAACTAATCAGGGGAATTGTGGCTTCCCCTTTCCAGGAGTCTCAGCTCAATCCCACACAAGAGCTGGGAGAGTTGGGTGTCATGTTGTGTGCCCTGGGGTAGGCAGATGGTCAGTGAAAGAATCTCCCAGCCTTTCTGGTTTTAATCTGTGGTCCTGTCCTCCAGCCTGACCCTGCCTCATTTCTTCTCATACACCGTGAGTTTAATTCATTCTCCTTCCCCACACGCCTTGAGACCTGAGAGGGAAAATTGGGCAAAATTATTTCCAGACTCAGCTGATGTTTCACAAAGTGCAATTCACCTCTGCTGCTCCCAGGACGTGCCCATGTTATCTGTGTCCCTCCATCCTCCCTCTGCCCTGGCTGAGGTTCATCCTCCCCTCCTCACTCACAGCAAGGGGAGAGCCATGGGCTGTGAGCTCTGCTGACTGATTTTCAACTCTTTTAGTAGGCCTGACACAGGATGGTGCTGGTATGTGTGAACTCTGCCTCAGTGGTGTCTGTGGCCACCACAGCTGTGCAGTGATTTACCGGTTAACCAGTGATGTACTGGTTTACCAGTGATGTACTGGTTTACCAGTGATGCACTGGTTTACTAGTGATGTACTGGTTAACCAGTGATGTACTGGTTTAAGCTCTGCCAGATGTACCGTGCTCTCTCCAGTGAATCTCATTTTCCTGAACCCACATTATTTCTTGAGGAGCCAAAGTGTCCCAGGTAACACAGCCCTGCCATTCCCTGGGGCTGGGCCACATCACCATTCCTGTGAGACATCTGTAAACATGCTGGAAACTTCCAGCCCTTCCAGCCTGTTCCCCTGGGCTTCATTTCACCTGACCTGAGGCTAATTTCCCTGGCAGGGAGGAACACCGTCACCTTGTGTTATGCTGATGTGTAGCTTTCAGGAAGCCTCTCTGGGCACTGGTGGATCGAGGTTATGACCAGAAAACATGTCCAGAGGCATTTATTCCACATGTTCTCACACTCCTTCAGTTTCAAATAAGTGACACAGGTCACACAGATCCCCCTGTGAGGCAGAGCTCTGTCAGGCTCCAGCTGAGCCCTGGCACTGGGGTGTTCTCTCTGCTGTAATTTCTGGGAACCTGTGACACATTCTCACTACCAAAACAAGTGTCAGGACCTCACATGTCCTTTATCCCAGCAATGGGCACTGCAGAGCTGCCCCAGGCAGAGACAGGGGCCTGACAGGACTGCCTGGGATGAGCTGGGAGGCACCAGCTCAGGAGGAAACAGAGGAGTGCAGAGGGCTCTGCTGTGTCTGTGAGCTCCTGATCACTTTGGTGATGGTGATTCCTCTTCTTTGGCCATGAGGAATGGCACAAGGGGCCATTGTGCTGTTCTGGTGATACAGCCATGGTGATACACCAGCACTGGGTCCAGGGAGGCACACTCAGCATCACTGGCCAACCCAGCACAAGGATTTCCCCTTTCCACAACATCCTTCCTCCCCCTCTAAGAAACTTCCCACCTGAAACATCCAGCACCAGGGATGGAGTTGGGTGTGTTAGGTCACAGCCATGGCACGAAATTGCTCTGCTGGGAGCTGGTTCTGCTCCAGGAGCTGCCCACACTCAGAGCTGGTGACCATGGAGGGACTGCAGGTGGAGGGTGGCAGAACACTGTGCTCAGACCTGAAATAGCAGCTTAGGAGGAGATTTAGTGCAGAATTTTAATTTGAGGGAATTCCTCCAAAATGCTCCTTGGCAGGCTGAAGTGGAGCTCACACAGGTACTGTGTGTGTGATCCCACTCTGGGTGCCCCTGTGATCACCCTGTGATCTGCTGGCACCCATGCTGGGAGTGACCCCTTGTGTGTCACACCCCAGACAGGAGCAGGGGGTCTCCTGGTGCCCAGCAGCTGGAACAGCCCACGGGAGGTCACTCCCTGCAGCTCAGAAAGTCAGCAGGGTTTATGACAGTGGGAAATGCTGGAAGGGTCCTGTGGAAGCTCTTTCTTCTGTTCCCAAAGGTTTTTGTCTCTGTTGCAACCTCACTTGAGCACCCAGGAGGTATCCCCAGTGTCATTGTGTTCTACCAGTCCTCTGGCCTTGGCACCTGGGACTGTGTTACACATCTGTGGGGTCCCAAGGAGATTTGGGGTATTCTAAAGATAATCTGGCAAGGTCCAGTCCCAAGTGAAGATTCCAGACCTTTGGTTTCCTTCTAGTCCTGGCAAAATGGATAAAGCATATCAGAAACAGCAGCTTTACTGTTGTCTGGTGGGCTGTATTCAGCCTCTGGGCACAGGTTTGGGGTGAAACAACCCAGAAATGGTTCCTGCCCTGCCAGCCTGGCGCTGAGCTGCTGCTGGGGCTGTGTCCTTGCTTCGCACCAGGGGCTCCCTGCCTCGGGGCTCCCTGGCTCAGCGCTGTGCTCGAGGCCCCTCTCTCCCCTCTTGCCTGGCAGCTTCTCAAAGCTCTGGAGGTGCTGCAGAGCCCTGGAACTGTGCTGGGTGGAGGGGCTGCCATGTCCCCTCTGCCCCCCCGAGCCCCTCTGATCCTGCCTTGTCTTCGTCTCTCTGCAGATTTTGACAGAGCTGAAGTCGGACAACCAAAGGCTGAAGGATGAGAACGGAGCCCTTATTCGTGTCATCAGCAAACTCTCCAAATAGGAATCCTGAGCAAAGGCAGGACAAGGAGGGGTGTCCTACACCAGCTGCCAACCCCACCACCGAGCCCTACCCTTTCCTTCCCGTCACGTACAGCAAACGTTTCAGCCGTGGGATCAATGTCACACCTGCCTTGCCCTGCCCGTTGCTGTACATTCCCTTTTCACCCCAATTCCCCCCAAAACACCCCCTGCCATTTTTTTTTTTTTTTTTTTTAATTTATGCATGTTGTGGTATCTCGGACATTTTATTCAAGGGAGAAATGTGAGGACTGGGTTTGAGCTGCCAAAACTTTTTCCAGAAGCTCAGTGTTTGGGTTTGGACTTTGACCTGGAGTGGGAAGCTCTTACTGTAAAATGTGACATCTGAAGAACTAGCCCAGCATATCCAGGCCCTTTCCAGGTGGGAAATGTGAACATGGGCTGGGACTCTGGGGATGTACATCAGCCCACTGAGACGTGGGGCTCTGGTTCAATGTGATGCTTTTAAAGCCACCAGAGCTCGTGTTTGTCACAGGCTGATGAGCTCTTTTGCAGAGACCTTCTCCTCTTGCCCCACTAGACTGAGTCTTCTATTTAAGATTTTGAACTTGTTCAGTAACATCAGTGCTGACACTCGGTGTCAGACCCTCATCCCTCACCCTCCCTTTACCCCTGGCTGATCCTGTGTCATGTTGTGTCCTTCCAGGGCTCCTGTCTCTGTGGTTGGGAGCATCCAGTTGCCAACTGGACTCTTGTTCCTTGGGAGAGGATATATCCCAGGCACTTGCTGAGCTTGCTGAAGGACAAATTTGAAACCCCTACTCTTCTGCTGCTCTCACCTGTGTGTGAGCATAAATCACCTTCCAGGGAATTGTGCCCATGCCAGAAGCCAGCCTCCCCTTCCCAACAGCCATCTGGGACATTCTTCTGCTGCCTCCCTGCAGGCAAAGCCCCATAGCAGAGCCTGGTCTGGTACTTTGGGTCTCCCTGTTTGATTTGAAGCAGGATTTGTAGAGGGAGAATGGCAGCATCGTGTCCCCCACACCTTGGAAAGGTCAGGGTGTGTCAGAGGGACAAGGAGCTGCTGGTAACTGAATCACCATGATGAAAGTCTTCTGACCTGTTAAAAACTTGTGATAAGTTTTGGTCTTGAAGGAAACCTCCAGAAATACTCCTCTTTAACGTTACATGCACTCTGAACAGTTTGGAATTGTTCTCTCCCATGGGCATTTTTACATTGGCTTCTCTCTCCATGCTGTGGGACATCATCAGGTCTGTTGAGCTTCCCATTAACAGACTCCTCTCAAACAATATCTTCCCTCCCATAGACATCCTGCTGTATCCAAAACATTTTCCCATTTAAATCCTTCCATACCTGTCCTTTAATCCCCTTTGTCCTTCAGCTCCCCAGAGTCTGGCCAAGGGCAGCAGTTCTTGGTCACTGAACCTGGAGGTGGCCATGGAGCAGCTCTACCACGTTCCTGAGCAGCTCTGCTGGCTCTGGCTGGGGGGACTCTCCACTGCCAGAGAGATGAGATACTTGAACATGAGCAGAATACTTGAGCTTGCTCAACAGGGTAAAACTTAACTCTGTCAGGCAATCCTGGGCTTTTTCAAACCTTCTGCTGCTTATTGCCTCAGAAAGCATCTCTGTTTTCTTCTCCCTGGGGTTTGCTCTCCTTGTTTGTTTTTTTTTTTTTCCTCTAATTCTCCATTTTCCCCCCTTCCCCTCCCTGTCCTGCCTGTTTCCACCTCTCTTGCTCTTCCTGGAGCTTCCAGTTTTCCCCAGGCAGCTCTGACCACAAGTTGCTCTTCAGCTGGTGGAGCCATTTGTGCAGCTGAGGCACCGTTTCTGAGGCCCTTCCTCTGCTGCTGAGCTTTGGGAGGAAGAGACCAAAGCTGGTAAAGGCATCAGGGTTTCTGCAGAGCACTGCCTAAGCCAGGCATCCTTTTTATATTCCTTGATTTTAACCTTGCTCTATTTAACAGCTTTAAGTCTTGAGATCCAGTCAATGCTTCCCCTGCACGCTGTTCCCTCTTGGTGCACTCTTCATGTGAGTACTTTTGCTGTTCTTGATGTTTTCTCTCTTGGTGACCCACTCCTCCCTTCAGCCTCAGGCTCTGGCTCTGGTCAGGAGATCGGGGATCAGGAGCCCGGTCCCTTCTGTGCCACGTGGAGGAGGAGACGCTCCCCAGCTGGGCAGGATGAGCAGGAGAGTTTGGAGTAAAGATCCTGTTCTTCTCACAGGAGGTTCCTGGCAGCAGCAAGCCTGGTGTCTGTTTTAGGGAGAGGGTTCAACCCAATCTGACAAATCCATCCCGCACTGATGTTTTGCCCCTTCCCACCAGGACACTCACTGTGCTTTTTCCCAAGGAACAGAGTGGGAAGGCTGTGGGAGGCTCCTTCTTCTGAGTGGCACCTTGCAAAGCCAAACCACTTTAGCTGAAGTGTCTGCTTAGCACTGGATTCTCCCGAGCCCTGGGCCCCACAGCTCAGTGTCCCTGAGCAGCCAAAGCTGTCAGCGTCTCCTCGTGACGTCGCAACTGCAAACCAAATTCTTGAGAATGGATTTTTTTTTGTCTCACTTCATGCCTGACATAACCAGTGCACTGAGGAGGTGACACACAGGACACCTCGAACCCTGTGCTTGGGACAGGGTGCAGAGCAAATAGGTTTTAAAATTGATCCCTCTTGGAATCAGCATTTGCCAGACGTGGTCTCCCTTGGGGAACATGAGATTTTTTTTCTGAGCAATTGCTTGGGGTGAGTTAAATTTTATTGCTTGGGGTGAACCCACCTGTTGTGGCTCCAAGTTTGGTGATGGCTCTTTGTAAATAAACTCCTTGGAGAAGCAGGACTGGCTGACGAGATGGGGAGAGAATGTATTTTTATGCAACCTTTGAGTGGCCTTTCAAACCCTGAGATGAATGATTTGTTTTACTGGTTGTTGTTATATAGTATTATAAGTATTATGTGTTTGAAAGTTTGGGAATAATATTCACAGCTATGATGCTTGTAAACACAACAGTATTTATAAATGAATAAAATAAGAGTTGATAAAATAGAAGCTTTGACTTTGCTTCCATCTTTCTGGAATTCCAAGTTGTTTGTGTTAAAAGTCTCTGTTTCTCACAAAATTCTCCTAGCTTGACCATACTCATCATCCATAAAAGCACAAATGTTCTGCAGCTTCAACACAGGTGCCTTTTCAGGGTGTTGGGGGTTCAGTGTCCTTCCTTTTGTTCTGTCTCACCTCGTGGTGAGAGAAATCTGACTGCTGGAACTTGGTGGGTGCTTGAGAAACACCAAGAGTTCCCCCTGAAGGGGGGCAGGAGAAAGGGAGGGCAGGGGCAGCTGGGGCTGGGCTGCTTTCCTCAGCTCCAGAGCAGGACACTGCTGGGGGCTGTCGTGGTTTGGAGAAGGGAATTCACCATCACCCAGACAGAGCTGCTGCTTCTCCTTCCTGGTCTGTGGGCCTCACCCCCCCTGTCCTGCCGGGACGTGGCAGAGCCACGGAGCTGCTGATCCATCTCAGCCACTGGGCTGGGATCTCAGCTCATCCCTGCTGTTCCAGCTGAGTGTTCCTCAGAGCCCTGCAGGAGCACTGGCACTGCCCCAGGGGTTTGTGAAGCAAAGCCTCTCCTCCATCCCTTCCTGTCTCACTGAGAAAGCTGTCACGGGGTCCCTGCTTCTGTTTTGGTGTTAGTGCTGTAGTTATTGTTTGTGTGCCTCGTTATACACACTAGGAAAGAACTGTTATTGCTATCCCCAGATCTCTGCCTGAGAGCCCCTTGATTTCAAAATGATAATAATTCAGAGGGAGGGGTTTACATTTTTCATTCCAAGGAGGCTCCTGCCCTCCCTAACAGACACCTGTCTTCCAAACCAAAACACAAGGGAAGCTGAAATGAAGGAAGTGGGATGCACATCCCTGAAAATCACCCACCAGTGGGAAGGTGAAACAGGAAAGGATCTGATCTCCTCCTCAGCACCACACGGGGGTCAGGTTTATTTCCCAGTCTGGGGGCAAGCCCTGTGTTTGCTCAGAAATTTGTTCAGCACAAAGTGCAGCACAGGCAGGAGGTGGTGTCACATCTGGGAACCGGCTGGAACCTCCACTTGTTCCAGTCTTCAGAGGTGGTTGGTGCAGGTTGGGTTCATCCCTTAGGGTTGGGGGTGTCCAGGATCCCTGTGGAACAGGATGTGGCTGTATAGACCAGACTGTGCTGGAGGCAAAGAATTCTGTGGGGACCTTTGGTATTTCCCACCTGTGCCCCATGTCTGGTCTGGCCTTGCTTATCTGGGGTTCAAGGTTGCCCAGAGCTCAGGCAGAGGGAGCTGGGGGGACTCAGCCTGGAGAAAAGGAGGCCCAGGGGAACCTCCTGGCTCTGCACAACTCCCTGCCAGGAGGGGACAGCCAGGGAGAGCTGGGCTCTGCTCCCAGGGAACAGGACCAGAGGAAACAGCCTCAAGTTGTGCCAGAGGAAGTTCAGGTTGGATACTGGGGAAAAGTTCTTCCCTGAAAAGGTTGTGAGGCAGTGGCAGAGCTGTCCACGGCATCCTTGGAAGTGTTCAAAGGATGCGTGAATGAGACACTTCAGACATGGTTTAGTGGGTAAACGTGGCAGTGCTGGGTTAATGGTTGAACTCCATCATCTTAGAGGGCATTTCCAACCTAAATGATTTCATGATTCGTGTTTTGGGGACCTGGACCCTTGTGAGGTTCCACCCTTCCATCCCTCCATCAGCTCAGTGCCCTGGGTCCTGCCCCTCCCCGCAGATGCCCCGTGAGCCCCAGCAGCAAGACCAGAAGGGAACCAGCTCCTTTCAGCTCGTTTCTTTAATAAGGAGACGGAAATCATTACAAAATAACCATCAAACGATCAGAGACGGAACGACGGAGTCCACACGAGGGGAAGGGGCATTAAAAGCAGCTCCCGCCAGAGCCGAGCGCTGTGGGGCCGGGATGGGGCACAGCGGGACCGGCTCCTCCCTCCTCATTCTGGAGAAAAAAGGAAAGGAACCCGAGCCTGTTGCCAAGACTCGCGGATTCACTTCTTTTTTTAACCCGGGGAGCATCTCCGTGGCACAGCTGGGTTTGCTCCGCCGTGCCGCCAGGAGAGGGAAGTGCCCAAAGCAGAAACCACCGACTGGACACGGCAGAAATAACCAAAAATGCTCCAAAAAGCCTTTTCACCACCGGCAGGTCGAGCCCAACATCTGCGGACAACACCTGGCCCGGCAGGACGGCACCCAAGGCCACGGAGGTGGCAGCAGCTGCAGCACCCACGGAACCGGGGAGACACACGGGGGAAGGGGTCACGGCTCACCCTGGGGCTCCCCCCGGTGCACCGTGCTCTAATATGGCTTCTAAAGTTGCTCTGACGGTGAAATGCACCAACGCGACACAGGACACCGAAGCCACGATGTTGCTGCTACTCGGCCGTGTGACAAACGCGACGAGAACAGGGGAACACGACACACACGGACGCCACGGCTGTGACAGCTCACGCTCCGCTGGCGGGCCAGGCTTGGCATGCTTTGCTTCTTGGCATTATTTTCTTCTTTTATATGATTTATTTGGGGATTTTCATTTTATCTGGGGGTAAAAATATCAGGGCGGTGGAGAGCTCTGGAGCGATGAGGTTTGGAAGTGGCCGCCGGAGATGGGGACGGCAGTGCCGGGCTGGGGCCATGCTGCTTCTGCTACGTGGCTGCTTCTCATGCACTGCTCGTGGTATATACAGCTATGTCTCCATATAATTTACCTACACACAGCTAAGGGGGGGTCAGAGGCAGCGCAGATGGCTTCAGTATGGTGGTTGGTTTTCCCTTTTTTTATTTAAAAAAAAAATTAAATCATGTATTAAAGTCACAGTCTTCCCCCTCTGCCAAGGCTTGAGGAGTGTGGATGGATGGATGGATGGATGGATGGATGGATGGATGGATGGATGGATGGATGGATGATGGATGATGGATGGATGATGGATGATGGATGGATGGATGATGGATGATGGATGATGGATGATGGATGGATGGATGGATGGATGGATGGATGGATGGATGATAGATGGAGGGATGGATGATGGATGATGGATGGATGGATGGATGATGGATGATGGATGGATGGATGGATGGATGGATGGATGGATGGATGGATGGATGGATGATGGATGGATGATGGATGGATGATGGATGATGGATGGATGTATGGATGATGGATGGATGGATGGATGGAGGATGGATGAATGGATGGATGATGGATGGATGATGGATGGATGATGGATGGATGGATGGATGGATGGATGGATGGATGGATGGATGGATGATGGATGAATGGATGGATGATGGATGATGGATGGATGATGGATGGATGGATGATGGATGATGGATGGATGGATGGATGATGGATGATGGATGGATGGATGGATGGATGGATGGATGGATGGATGGATGGATGGATGGATGATGGATGGAAAGCGGCCAGGTGGGATCTGCACCCCTGGAGAGACCTCGGCCGATGCGGCTGGGCTGGGCAGAGGAGAGCGCATAGGAGGGGAGTGCAGGCATGTGCAGGTGTGATGTGCAGGTGTGATGTGCAGGTGTGCACACCTCCATCTGTTTCCCTGGGAAGGCTGTGGGGCCATGCACATTTGCTGGCTGCTATCAGTAGCATTTCAGTGCTTTTTCTAATTCCTCCTCTTTTAACTTATTCCATGTAAGGCAAACACAGACACACAGACACACACACCAAACACACACACACACACAAACACACTCACACACACACACCAAACACACACACACACACTCCCCGTGCCTGGGTGGACCCCAAAATGAGACTGAGTCCTGCCAGTGCTCCTGACCATGCAGCATCAGCTCCCCATTATTAAATGATCCCAAGACTTCTCCCTTTGGCTACAGGGGCAGGACAGGACCCTCTCGATTGGCACAGACACATCCATTAGGAAAACAAACTAATTAAAGCAGGAAATGGCTCTGAGGGACCACTGGCTGGATGACTCCTGTAGACCCAGCGTGGCCCCAGTGCCACCTCCACCAGGGCATGGCCAAGTGCAGCCACAGTGGTGGCAGAGGTGGTCATTAGAGGTCTCTGTCCAACATCCCCTTCCCACACTGCAGCTTGGCCATCTGAGCCCCAAACCTGCCATGGATGGAGATGTCCTGCCCTGGGGACCTGTGCCAGAGCTGCACAGCCCTCCAGGGACAGGGCCTGGCCCCTGTGTCCATTTGAACCCCCCAAGCCAAGTTTCAAACCCAGTAACTACCACCAATTTTCCCATCATGTCCCACCTCTGGAGAGGACCAGGATTCCCTTTGGGAAGTCAGAGCTGTGGGAGCTGCCAAAGCCTCTGACAGCGGTGGGATGAGCTCAGTTTTGGCACTTTGCCCCCAGACCCAGACACCCTGCACCACAGTCCCAGCCCAGGTGTTGAACCCCCAGAGCAGTGTCCCCAGTGCCAGCACATCCCTGGGGCTTGACCCTCCTGCGGTGCCAGAATCCCCAGCACCGAGCCCAAGGAAGCCAAAGGGAGCAGAGCTTGAGGCTGCTGTGGAGCTGGAGCTGGGACAGGGACACGAGCTGGCGTCAGTACAGACTGAACTGAACTGGGCAGGGCTGCTGGACCCTTTCCCAGCTGCAGAGAACTGTGTTGGCTTTCCAGCTCAGGGTCTTTTCTGGGAAGTGGGAGAAACAGTCTAGAGAAGCTCTTAGCCACTGTCAGGGTCACGGATATGGCTTATACCCCTGAGGGGAGCAGGACAGGGTGGGTTCAACAGCCAATGGCCTGGTGGGGAGTAGCAGCTCATGGGGGTCTTTGGTGCCTTGCTGGTCCCAGGCTTGCTCTTGCCTGCCCCACCCGCAGCAGGTGCTGGGGCTGGAGCTCCCCACGGCCCCCCAGCTGCCCTGAGGCTGGGGTGCCCACAGGGGGCCTGAGCCCTGGGACATGCAATGGACGGTCTCTGGGGAGCCACCAGGTGCAGCTCTGGGGTCTGCCCCATCACATCTGGAGACCTCTCATTGTATACTTGCCTCATGGAAGCATTTTGATCTATGGGATTCACCAGGCATGGTGGGACACAGACACAAATCACCCAGTGCTGCCCCTCTGGGGACAGAACACAGGGGGTGATGCTGGTGGTGGTGGTGGTGATCCCCACAGTGCTGCTGGTGCATCCACATTTCACCCTGTATCTCCTTGGAGCCACCCTCCCGAGGCTCCCTGTGCCTCCACAGCTCTTGCTGCAGCACTGAGAGCTTGACCCCACCACCACAGCAGGATCCACGGCCCCTGCAAGCCTCTCCTCAGAGAACCCAAACCTGGAGATGGCCAGGGACACTCAGCCTTCCTTGGAGAGGGCCAGGGGGAGGCACCTGGGTCTCTTCAGAGGGTCTTCTGCACCGTTTTTGTGTCTCACTACTGGTCACACCCCAACCAAGCATGGTGGGTCTGGTCATCTCACACCAGCAGGCTCCAATATCACCTTCCACGGTTCCCCACGCGATCCCAAGGGCAGGATGGTGGCAGCAATGCTGCAGACTGGTGACACAGCTGCTGGGGAAGGTCCCAGGTGTGCCAGTGGCTTTGCACTGGGAAGGGATGGCAAGCAGAGTCAATGGGACATGCAGCAGAAAGGAGCGATGCTGAAGAACAAAAAGAACCATCCATGTCTTTAACCTCTTCCCCTGGAAGCGACTGGGACTGCCTGGATACCCTTCCAGAGGTATCAAAGGACATTTCAGCTTAAAACAGAACAAAAAAACCAAAAGGAAGGTTGCAGAACTGAGGTATCAGTAGCTCTGGGTCAACTGTCCGCAGCGCCGCGCCGGCCAGCAGAGCTGCCTATTTGTTCTTCCCAAGAGCTGCATCCACTTCCTCCTCGGGCTTGAGCGAGTGCCACTGGGCAATGGGCCGCCGGGGGTTGGCCAGCATGTCGGACCAGTGCCGCAGCTCCGTGCCCGTGGAGTTCAAGCCTGTGAAGATCTTGCCGATGGCTTCGTTCTTCCCCAGCTTGTCGTAGTCCAGCACTGTGATGACCACCTGCACTTTCTAAAGAAGGAAACCTTTTTTAGAGGGGGGGAAAGGTACAGTGGCCATGAGAGCTCCACAGTGCCCCAGGGATCTTCCAAGGATGAGCCCCACTCTGGCCCATTTTGGTGCAGGGCCCCCTCCCTGCTTCCTTCATGTTCTTCTCTGAGGAGCGCAGCGCCCGGTGGGGTCCCAGCTCATCCCGAGCTGATTCACCTGGGAAAGGTCACCAAAGTGTGGTGTGGGGATGGGCAAGAGCTCTGGGCTACTGGGCAGGGGCAAGGGGCACATGCAGGGACTTGCACAGGACATGGAGGAGCAGAAGGCAGTGGCCAAGAGTTCAAAACACTCCTAGGACCACCCTGCTACGCTAAGGGTGAGCACTGTAGGATCAGGAGCAGAGAAAACCTTATTTTAGTCATGATCTGGGTTGGGGGTTCATCTCCCATGGGCTCTGCCCAACCTCCCACCTCTGCCCCTGCAACAGCTGCCCTCAGCATCAGCCCAGGCCCCAGATGGGACTGGAAGAATCTCCGGGGTGACCAGACCAGGAGCTCAGCAGGAGCAGCTCAGGCTGCTGGGAAGGCTGGGGTAAGGGCTCAGGCAGCTTTAGGACATGTTCCATCCCAGGGGAGTCATCAGACAAACCTGTATCTGCTCAAAGGGGATCTCAAAGCTGAAAGACTCATTGAAGTAGGGGTTCAGGGTCTTCTTCTTGACTGTGGTCTTCTTCTTCTTCAATCTCTTGCCATTCTGCAGCAGATGGATCTTCACGTAGGGATCTGGGGGTCAGGATGGGGAATTAGCCAGGGCTGAGGTGCCCTGGGGACACTGCTGGCCTGGTCCCAGGAGACATCTCAACCCAGGGTGAGGGAGAGACTGCCCTGAGTAAAGGTGGTGTGAGGTTTGTGGATGGATGCCAAAGACAAAATGGTCAGGCTGGAGAAGATTTGTGGGAGCAACTGGCCAAGATATGGAGCTCTTCTGCATTCAGCAGAACTGGGGAAGGGTCTGGAGAGTCAGACATGAGGAGAGGCTGAGGGAGCTGGGGAGCTCAGCCTGGAGAAAAGGAGGCTCAGGAGGAGAGACCTTCTCTCTCTGAACAACTCCCTGACAGGAGGGAGCAGCTGGAGGGGGGTCAGGTTCTGCTCCCAGGTAACAGGGACAGGACAGGAGGAAATGGCATTGAGACAGGGGAGGTTCAGGTTGGACATCAGAAAGAATTTGTTTATGGAAAGGATGGTATGGATTGGAACAGGATTGGAACTGCCCAGAGAGGTGGTGGAGTCCCCCATCCATGGAGCTGTCCAAGCAACACCTGGACATGGCACTCAGTGTTCTGGTCTGGGTGACAAGGTGGGGATCAGGCACAGCCTGACTTGGTGATCCTGGAGGTCTTTTCCAACAGTAATGATTCTGGGATTCTGTGCTGGGGGTCCCCTTGTAGGGAACACTGGAGTGACAGCTGGCCTGTCAGGTGAGTCACTTTGTGTGGGTTCTGACCTGTCCCCCCTGGTTCTGGAGCAGGAAAGCCCACAATAAAGCTGAATCCTTCCCAGCCATGCAGGTACTGCTCTTGTCATGGTTAAAGCACATCTGGAGAGAGCTGAGGATCCCTGGGCACAGAGCTCAGCCCCAGGATGGGGCTAGGAAGACAGTTCAAGCACAAAACATGCTGTCAGCTGAGGTTCCTGGCCCCCAGATCAAGGAGGAACAGGACCAGGAGCAAATGGCAGAGGAGCACTTTCACCACCCAGGTCCTGCAGCATCCTGGTCCTGCTTGAACCAGGGGAACCAAATTCAAAGCGTTCTTCCCAAGAGTCAGGGATGCATCCTATGCCCAACTCCCCTCCCGCCCCAGCCAGACCAGGCTGCCTCCAAGGCATGAGGAGGCACTGGGGGGTTTTCCCAAGCTCTGCCAGACAGGTGGCCCCCAATTCCTTCCCCACAGAGGATGGGGGGAGGCTGCCTCTGAGCAACACCCACCTGAGAGGCCCCCAACATCCATCTTCTTCAGGTTCTTGGCCTCCAGGATGCAGACAGTGAGCTTCCCGGCCGTGGGCACGTACCGGAGGGAGATGCAGATATCTCCCAGCTTCTCTGGCTGCCAAGCAGATCAAGGAGGGGAGATTAAAGCCTTGCCAGTGCCTGGGACTCCAGGGTTGGGACACGATCACACATACAGGTCCCCCCCAAACCCTGCTCGGTCCAGGCACAAGCTGGCACCTTGTGGACCAACACAAGAGTTTGATCACTGGGTCCAGGACAAGCCAGGCCCACTCAAGATGTTTTACAGTCTTGACTTTTTGTTATAGAAATATTTTTACCCAGAGGAACAACAGGTCAGATCCAGCAATGACTGCCAGGATATTCATGGTACCCTGGCAGGACCCCACAGTGATGGTGGCCCTGAGCACTGTGGGGTGGCCCTGAAAGCAGAGCTCACCCCATGGCCAGCCCCCATCTCAGGCTGGCTCTCACCTCTTCCTTCTCACCACTCTGCAGGTCCCGCCACTCCTCAATGGGCTGGCCCAGGTCCACAGTGTTCATGGGCACCTTCACCTCACCGATGATGTCGTGCTTGGAGAAGCGATCGAAGTCGTAGATGGCCATCACCAGCGTCTTCCCACCCAGCTCCTGGTAGGGCACCTGCACAAAGGGACAACAAGGGGGCTGCAAGGGGCTCGGAGGACCCCGAGCCAGGACCAGCCAGGACCAGCAGGGAGTCAGCACACAGGCCTGCTACAGCCAGGAGGAAGGATTGGAGTGGGAGACAAGATCTTGTGTTGTGGATGTAGGGGCTCACTTTGAAGGTGAAGGTCTCGTTGAAGGCAGGGTTGAGGGTCTTCTTCTGCACTTTGGTCTCGTACTTTTTCTTCTTGTCAGGGAGCAGGAACACCTTGACGTAGGGGTCTGAGGTGCCACCCATGTCTAAAGCTGGCAGTTCAGCAGCTTGGAGGATCCCCACTGTGAGCTGGAAGGGCAGAGGAGTCCTCAGTGATACAGCCTGGCCATGCACTGCAGCTGCCAAGGGCTCATCTCCAGTCCAACAAGGGCCAGGACTTCCTGTGACACAGCACCCAGCTCTCCCTTCCCTCATGTGCCTCCCAGGTCCTCCTCTCAACTCCTCCCCTGAGCAAACCCCACTCCTCAGCCGAGTCCCAGCCCCTCCATCACCTGGTTTGCCTGGAAATCGTAGTCCAGTGAGAACTGCAGCTTGCCCAGGTTCTCCGGCTCCTTCTCCTCTTCCTCACCTTCCCCCTCTGTCAGACCTGTCTCTGCGTCATCGTCGTCCTGTTGGTCCTGCAGTGGCAGCCGAGGTGTCCAGCTCAGCAGGACACTCACAGCCCCACAACACTGGGGACCTTGGCACCCCAACCCTCCTGACATGTCAGCACCCAGGTTCTCCCCACCAGAGGAAAGAAGTCCCACGTGCTGGGGCCATGAAGCACTGACAGAGCAGGCTGGGGGTGGTACTGGCTGTGCCACAGCCATGCAGCTCCCAGGGAACCCGCAGTGCTGGTCCAGCCAAAATGACAGGGGCACTGCCAGGGCTGCCAGGACAAGGGATTGACTCCAGTGGAGAGGGTTTGGTGGGTCCTGTGCCCCCCAGCCCACGCTTGGGGGAGCAGTACAGCCAGAGCCAAGGGCTTATCAGGGCTTTGTAGGCTCAGAAATAGATTGTCCCTAGGAAATCCACCCCTCTTCCAGCCTCTCCAAGCACAGTCCATGGGCTGGGAGTCCCAGCTCCTTACCCCCTCTTTGATGTGTCCCCCCATCCCACCCAGGAAGCAGATGATGGAGAAGGAGGCTCATGGTGACACTTACGTGGAGAGAGTGACCCATGTGCAGAGAGGCAGCCAGGGTAGCAGGGCAGGAGGACAGGAGGGCACCGTGGGCAAAGAGAGACGTGTTACACAGACACCAAGAGACCCATGGCAGGGTGGGGGATCAGGGCTTGCACCACCTGTGGAGTCCAGAGGACACAGCCCTCGTTCTCCACTGGGGATTCCCACCCCACACCTCCCTCCTGTCCTGCTCCTCCCTGTCTGCATGCCCATGGTGCCCACATGGCTCTGAAGAGCAGGCACAGACACCCAAATTCTCCCATCACCTCCAAATGGCCACGGGTCAAGGCCATTGAAGTGTCCGGGGTGGCCCCAAGGCTGTGGGTACCAAAGCCTGCCTCAGGCTGGCCCCAGGATGAGGTACCAGCACCTACCACAGATATTCTGGGGATCCCAAACTGGTGGGTGTTGTGGCCTGGTAGCCCTCCCCTCTCAGCTAAAGGCTCAGAGAAATGAGTCTGACTCAGAGGGAGGCAGGAGACACAAGGGATTAAATCAACATTTCCTGGCTCAGATGAAGCACTGGCAGGTCCAGGCCAGCTTGAGCCTGGTCCATCTGGGCCACCAGACACTGGACAAAGACAGTGCTGCTGTCTCAGGTCCTGGCTCAACTGTGCCATCCCAGGGTCCTGGTGGCTCCATCCCAGCCTGATCTATAGATCCATCTATCCCTGACACAGTCCATAACAGCCAGAGGGGCTGTCAGTCAAGCAGCCCAGGGGGACATCACCTGGTTGCCTGACTTCATGTCCTTCATGTTCATGGCATTCTTCATGCCTTTGCCCTTCTCCTTCTTGTTCTTCTTCTTCTTGCAGCAGCACTTCTTGCAGATGCAGAAGCAACAGGTGAGGATGAGGAGTCCAGCCACGACCGCAATGGCGATGAGGGCCCAGGGTGGCACTGTGGGCAAAAGCCATTGTCATGGTCAGCCCTGTAGCTCCCTCCCACCCAAAAACCTTGTGCCACAGGTTCTACTGGGACCAGAGTGGTGGTGGGGGGTCATCAGGAGGGTAACACCTGGGAAAGGAGCTACTCACAGGGAATCTTGTTGAGCTCATTCATGAACTTGTCCCTCAGTTTGGTGAACATGTCCTCCTTGCTCTCGCCCGGCCCCGCAGCCTCAGTGGAGTTCTCCATCGTGCTCATGGGCAGCGTGCTGGCCGTGGCCTCTGGGGCCATCATGGACGCTTGCTTGAACGTCATGGTGGGTCAGGGGCTCCCTGAAACACATCATCTCGTGGTGACACGAGCAGTCCCTGCTGCCCCCACTCCTTCCCAGTGTCCCTGCACGGGCAGCAGGGCCACACCAGGACACCTCAGAGGGGCACAGACCCAAGGTGTGCAAGAGGTCACCTGGATCCCTCACAAGCCATGGGAAGCCCAGCTGGCCTCTGGGTTTCCTGGCCCTTGACATCTCCAAAGCCACTGGGAGCATCACCCAGCCTTGCATCAATGAAGGTGCCACTGCTGAGCCTCCCGGGGACAACAGGGGCACTCCTGGGAGGATGCTCACCTGGCAAGGCCCCTGGGGATGAGGGGAGGGGTGTGCATCTCCAGGAGAGAAGAATGAGGTCAGTTTGGAGAAACCCAGGTCTCCCATCTCCTTTTCTCAGGCGGGGACGCCAGGCATGGGGCACCCACAGGGACCCAGTGCTGGCATGGCTCTCAGGACTTGCTCCCAGCCCCAGAGGAGCTTCCAAGTCTGAGAACAGAAGAGCAGCAACACACTGCTCTTCTTCCAGCCCCCAGGGAGCTTTGGCAGGGCACGTTTTGAGGATGGATGGAAGCTGGGAAGAGCTGGCTCTACACAGCAGCGGTGGATTCAGTCAGCAGGTCAATGGGTCAGCTCACATGTCACCGGTACCATGTCCTGGGTGCCATCCCTCCCAACCCCACAGAGCTCCCCTGGCCAGCTCTGCTCCTCCACAGAGCCACAGAAGGTGTTCAGGTCTCATCCAGGGCTGCAGCACAGCCTGACGTTCTCAGCAGGCCCTCCCAAGCCCAGCTGGGTCTGAGCACCCGCCAAGGATAGGGACAGCCATCATCTTGCAAATGTGACTCTGACTCCTGCAGGTGAACCTGGTACAAAGTACCCCCACAACCCAGCTCCAGCCTCAAAGGGTCTCCATGACCTCCACAACCCCGGCTCCAGCCCCAAAGCATCTCCATGACCTCCACAACCCAGCTCCAGCCCCAAAGGATCTCCATGACCTCCACAACCCAGCTCCAGCCCCAAAGGGTCTCCATGACGTTCACAACCCCAGCTCCAGCCCCAAAGTGTCTCTGTGACCTCCACAACCCCGGCTTCAGCCCCAAAGGGTCTCCATGACGTTCACAACCCTGGCTCCAGCCCCAAGCTCCCTCCACAACCCCATCAGAAAGCAGCTTGCAAGAGAAGAGCAGAGCAGGGAAGAATGCCAGGCAGGTCAAGGAGAACACCAGGCCCTCCAACGGGGGAAGAAGAGACAAGTAGGATCACAGATAACCCAGGAAGGAGTTTCTGGGGCAGGTGAGCTGTGGCTTGAGTGCACCCCCTTCCTTGCATCTCTTCTTTCCTCCTCACCTTCGCGAAGCCTCTTGGCCAGAGCATTGTCCCCCAGGGCCAGGTGCTCCTCTGTCCTTCCTGCAGAACTTGGAAAGGAGTCACCTCAAAAAAGTCAGCCAGAGAGACCTGGGGATGTTGCTGCCCCAAACTGACACTGCCATGAGTCTCCAGCCACCTCGCAGGTGAATCAAGCACCGAATTACCCAGAGTGTGGCTCCACACGTGCACACCCCTCCTGCACCACTGCTCCCGGGGAAAATGTGGTGTGGGGGCCTGGGGAGCCCTCCCATGAGGCAGAGACAGTTCTTCACAGAACAAATTGAGGTGATTATGTGACTCCCACCCACACAAGGTCCCTGCAGCTTTGCCACCCAATGGCTTGGCCACAGACACCTTTCCACCCCATCGAGGTATCAGCATCACCTAGCCCTGAAAGCTGGCACTGGAGGGCTGGAGCAGAATGCTGGAGGTCCGCCACAACCCCCACATCCTTCTGGGGGTGAACCAGGAGCTGCTGCATTTAACCCCTACCCAGCTGAGGGTTATTTGATCTTGAGGGCCTCAAAGGTTCTCCAATGCTTCCAGCAGCTGAGGAGACCTGGATGTGTCTGGGTCTGTCCCTACCATTTGAGGGTTTCTCCCTCACCCCTGTGTTCCAGGGTGGGTGGGAGGAGAGTCAGGAATTGGAAACCAGAGGCTGCCAGGGGTAACCTCTGACTGCTGGATCCTGCCCCCTCGGTCTGGGGCAGGGGTCCTGGCTCTGCCCTGCACCCATGGACAAAGGATACACCCTGCCACCCTGCCAGCTCCCCAGAGAACAGGAGGTGGGGGACCCCAGGGCTGCACTCCACCAACACAGCACACCCCAGGGCACCCACTGTGCACCCAAACCTGCCACAACAGGTGGGCAGCACCCAGAGGGGGCAGCTGGATGAGCCACCTCCCCTCCCAGTCCTGGGGTGCTCAGGCCAGCCCCGCGAGGATCACGATGCAGCACGGAGCCACCATCCCCAGGGACGGGGCAGTGGGGACCACTCAGCACCCACAGCCGGGCACAGCCTGCAGCCCACGGGTGTCCACGGGCAGGGCTGTGTCCGTGCACCTGTGAGCGTGGAGGGGAGGGCATCAGTGTGCAAGGGCCAGGGGTGTGTGCACGGGGTGTGTCCGTGCACCTGTGCGAGCGTGTGCGATTGTGTGAGGGTGTGAACGCTTGTGCAAGGTGTGTGCACAGGCTATGAACACGTGTAAACGTGCACAGGGTATGTAAATGCACAGCATGTGTGTGTGAGTGCTCGTGGCCATACACACCTGTGAGCACCTGCCCAGGGCTGTGTGTGAGTGCTCGTGCACAGGCAGGGTGTGCACACCTGCCCAGGGCTGTGTGTGAGTGCTCGTGCACAGGCAGGGTGTGCACACCTGCCCAGGGCTGTGTCACTTGTGCCCTCGGGTGTGTTGTGGATGCGTTGTGTGCATCCACCCATGGGTGTGTGCGTCCCCGCCCATGGGTGTGCGCGTCCCCGGCCTGTGCAAGGGCTTGCACTTGTACACACAGACACACAGACACAGACAGACAGGCAGACACACCCACACATCCACACCCGCACAGACACCCACACACACCAAACACGCACCCACACAGCGCACACACACCCACACCGACACCCACACACCCCTACACACACTCACCCACACTCACCCACACTCACCTCCACACCCACACACCGACACAGTGCACACCCCCACACACACCCCTACATCCACACAGACACCCACACTCACACCCACACCCCCACACACACCCACACAGTGCACACTCCCACACACACACACCCCTACATCCACACACC